GAGCATTCACCGTAAACATTTTTGCTGTAGGAAAACTTGCCTCAGTAACTTTCACCATAGGAAATGTTGCTGTGTAGGATTTTTGCCGTAAGACAATTTCGCCACATTTTTTTTTTATACCCTTATCTTGAACGTCCCTTTTGGAGTAATGTTCAATTTAATATGCAAATTACCTTGTTATCAAGTATATATGGATGTCTTTTTTACAGGGTCAAACATCAGAAAAGAAATTAAAAAGTAAACATTTATTTAAAAAATAAAAGACCAAAAATATATCAAATTAACAAAGAAATAATTTAAAATGTGTGCAAATTCCAAGCAATGCTTTGTAAATAATGTTTTTTTTGCGTTGGCCTGTAATGAAGCATTTTCCGCTGAAATCCTGCATTGATATCAATATATATTTTCTTCATTTGTACTACATCTCCTCGATCTAAATCACAATTCTTTTTTGCTAATGTCTCTTCCTTTTTCCAAATACGCAATTAGTTTCCACAAATTTTGGTGCATATTAGTATAACTTCTTTTATTAAAATGTTTAAATTGAAGTAGCAAGTGTGAGCCAGATATACTTGATAATAAGGTATTTCACATATTAAAAAAAAAAATGAGACGAAATTGTCTAATGGCAAAAATCCTATATGGCAAAGTTTTCTATGGTGAAAATTCCTGGGATGAGTTTTTCTAAGGCAAAAATGTTTACAGTAAATGTTCCTAGAACCCGATTTCGCATTCTAAGCCACTATTCATTACTCCACTCACACATCCACTATAACCTGTGAGTTTCAGTTTATAATATGTATCTTTATTAAAAATATGAATAATAATTATTTTAGGGATATCAGGTGCAAAGAAGTAGGTGTAACATAAATTATTATTTATAAATAAATCCAAAAGATATTGGCCAAAGAAGCATATGTTTCATCAACACAACATCCTCTCTACTTAAATAAACTATTTTATTTTACATCTTAATATGAGCTCTTTGACCTTCTATAGTCAGTCTTCATACAGTTTTTCAGTCATTGATCTTGTTAACATTATTTGCAACAATTCTTTGTTGTTTCCTAGAAATCTTTGTCACTTGAATATTGCTTTCCATTCACATCTAAATTTTTTTTTATGATGGGCCATAAATTTTCTATCAGATTTTATATTTTTTTAATCATTTCACCCCAAGCAAGGTGATAATGCCACTAAAATGCAAGAGGTTACTGAGTGAAAGAACATGAGAAACATTGATAACAGAAAAAAGATAAAAAGAAACAGCAAAATGTATAAAATCTAAATCAATCAAAAAAGAAAAGGTACTTCAGAAATGGAATGAATACTTTGGAAAACTTTTCCATAACAACAGGAGATAAACCTACAATACATAATAAATGAAAGTACCCATAATATTAAAATCTAAGCTGAGGACAAAGAAGAGCAAAGCATTAAGGTAAGATTGTAATAGAAATGGTGAGAGCCTTAGACAATTAGGAAAATGTTAAGAATATTAAAATTATAAATAAAATATATGACACTGACAAAATTCTTGAACACATCATTAAATCAATCTTTAACAAAACTCAAAAAAAAAATGGAGTGTCAAAAGAACAATTTTTCCATTGACACCATTATTTTAACTACCTTCAATCCTTTGCAATGTTTATTGTTTTAAAAATTGATGATTAGAATTGTAATGAAACCTAAACATGAAAATGAATTTATACATTTTCTTTGTTGAGAATTGACAACAAATTTAATAAACAGTATTTATTGTCTGTTGGAATGTTTGGCAAAATATCAACTAATTGCCAATTGATTTGAACTTCCTTATAGTTGGTTCATATATTTTAATTGTTTATAAATTTATGAATAAAAAATTGTTTTCATATTTATTTCTTTATAAATTGCTAAATGACAAATATTTCATTAGTCTTAATTGTATTAGTTTTTAAAATGTTGCAAGTATAAAAGTATCTTGTAAATAAACAATCTAATAAATAAATGTTTAATATTTTTGTTCTAAATTCTCTCAGAACAAAAATGTATAAATTCACTTTCATCATATTTTTAGGTTTATTAAAATTCTAATTATTGCTTTTTAAAACAACAAAATTTGCTGAAGATGGAAGGTGGTTAAAATAGTGGTGGTGTCAATAGAAAAATTGTCCTTTTAACATTCCCGTTTTTTGCAAGCATGAAGGTCCAAGTTTGCCCAATTTTATAGCACTGCCAAAGAAATCAATTTCAAATGAATGCAAATTTAATTCCACTGTCAGCTTGATTAGCCACATAACTAAGTTACTAATTCTAAGGATTTAATGATTACAACTTGTAACAGAATTAGACTGGGAATAGGGTAAGAACTGCATGCCTTTGTTCAAGAAATGGTTTCAGATGAATAAACCCTGTATGGCTTAGTGAGAACCATTCTTCATCAGATCTCATAGACTGATGCTACACAATCACAAAGAGCTTTACCAAATAACAGAAACCACATAACTTGAAGACTTTCAACAGCAGCAACAATTAAAATGCATAACACATCTAACTTGAAAATATGACATAGTCAAGGCATTGACTTTCCACACTACTTCAAACAAAAGGTTAGGAAGGAAGCCTTCACCAATATTAGAAAGAGCAATAACAATGGACTTAAACAAAGTAATCCAGGACTTGTAAGAAGAAAAGACTAATTATACGAAAATAGAATGCACGATTGTCAACAAAAGAGACAGCTCCGTTTGTAAGTTATATATCAAGGACATTAAAATCAAACAGGTTAAGAAGTTTAGCAATTTAGTAGTGGATGATGAAAAATATAACAGAAAATCTTAAGGTGTATAGGAATAGAAAAAAAATGGCTTTCAAAAAATGAGCCAAACTTTAAAGAATTGAAAAGCATCATTAGAAACCAAGATAAGGGTGCTGGACTGCTATGTAATATCTAATCTCAAATATGAGAGTTAATGCTGTACAATTTCCTCACAGATGAAGATAATACTTCAAGTGACAGATATGGTTATACCAACAAGTGCTGAAAATACCAGAGCACGTGAAAAAAATGAGAATGTTTTAATGAGAATAGAAAATACAAAGAAACTGATGCTAACAATCAGAAAGAGACAGCTGAAATTTTTAGGCTGCATCATAAAGAAAAAAGGCTTGGAGAATTTAACACTCACAGAGAATATTTGAGAGCAAGAGAAACAGGGAAAATGAGTAACCTATTTGACAAGGCTGATTAAATAGATGGCAAAAGGACACAAAGGTAGGTACCTCCACTAATTTGCTGAAAAAAGAGCATACTATAATGAAAAAAAATAATAAAACTAATTTTTTATCATCAAAATCTTTGTTATTAAGAGGAAAGACCAATTATTTAATTATATTTTTCAATCCTTTTTAGAATGTTCAAAATTTTGGTTAAAAATCTTGTCACCAGATGGACTATAAATTAGCAAATTTCAGCATCATTTTTGCCATGAAGGACACATCAATTGGAAATTCTTGCAATAATCAAATAATTCTTGCATTTTAATGAAACTTTCAGGACTTATTCACAAATAAATTATCTGAGAAATTTTTTTTTTTTTTTTTTTTAGAAAAACTTGATAATTTTTTTTTTTTTTTTTGCATGTATTACACCCACCAGATATTTTTTAATTATTATATTAGTTAAACTAGCAACAAAACTACTTGGAGAATTTAAAATCATCAATTCTTTTTAGCAAAATTGGTCATCTTACCAAAAATCCACTCTGAATCTTAAAATAAAAAACAATAAAACTAAGATATTATTTAATTAGAAAAGCTTTTATTTGCTTTTATGAATAAGATATATTAAGGGCACTACTGTCTTAAGAAAAAATCTTTTTTCATGAATAATGTATTTTTACAAAATGTTTTCATTTTTTAAATAGAATTTTTTTAGAATATTTTATAAACTTTGTAACTTAAAATTCAGTTTCAGTGGAATATTAACTAAAACCTGTATTTAAGCTTATTACATTTTATGGACCTTGTATATTTTAAAAAGAATTTTGAAGTGTTTTTGCATGTGCATAAATGTGCCAATTTTTGTAGATACGGATGTTCAATCACGACATTACCAGAAAATAGGAGTGATAACTATAAACTCAAAGCCAAAGTATCTAAAATTCAATAAAAATTAAAATATGGAGGATATTTTCTTAAATTTTTAAGATTACTGAGTACTTCAAAATTATTTTAGGGATAAAGCCCTCATAGAACGACATTAGATAAACATCTAGCTGTCAACAGATTAAATAAACAGCTATGAATGTGTTAAAAATGCATTTCTGTGATACTTTAAACTTGAAATAAATATTTGTTTCAAATTAGATTGATTATACTTTAAATCAGTTAATATTCCTCAAATAAAGTTTCAGAAAAGTATTTATTTTTTAAAGGTTTTTTTATAAAGAGAATTATGGTCTGATGGCTAAAAATAAAAAATTCCAGCAATTTTAAAACGAAAATCAATTTAAATTAGTTTTGAAATACAACAAAGTATTTTGCTTATTAGAAATAATCTATCAGCTTTAAATTAAAACTAAGAAAGAATTTCATTTTTAAAAATTCATTTTAAAATAAACCTTATCACAAATCTGTAGGTACCAACAAAAAGGCTTGCTTAAAGCCAAAGGGAGAATTTTTTAGAACATGAAGTTTTGAAGAGCTATGATTGCCCCAGGAAACGGCACATAAAAATCAGTCACTAGTTTTAAAAAAAAATGTTTTGCACACGCCTAATACTAAGTTTCGCGTATTATTGCGCAAGGACACAATTTTGTTTGTGTAACAGTAACTAACCAAATTCTTCGGCATTTTTACAAAATATTCTAACCAAATTCTCAGCAATGTTGGGACTCGACGCTTTTTCTCGAAAATAGAAACTTGACAAAGGGACGTAACTCTAAAAAAAAGCAGTTTAAATTAAATCAGTGGCTCAGAATGATGGCGTGGCAGAAAGTTGAACTTGAGGGTGAATGGACAGTGTTCCAATAGAACAACGACTGTCCGAATTTAGGGCAAGGAAACTTCAAAAGAAACCTTTGTCGACACCATCAACTGCCCCCTTTTTTAGAGGATTACGGAATGCTGTGAGTTGCTATAGTTTCCTTCTTAAAGCGCAACGACAAATTGTCTTTGAGGCATTTTCTCGCTAATGAAAGAAAACAACAAATCTCGCTACAAAAATAAGAATTTTATTTTGGTTCTAAAACTTGGTTAGTGACATTTGTTACCTAAACTGGAAGAAGAAAATATTTTCAATTAAATCAAAACTGCCGTTATTTTTCTCTTGATGTTATTGTTAGAAAAACAAAATTTGTAACCTTCCTACATCATAAAAAAAAAAAATAAAATTATTATTTATTTTTGCACGGTAAGCGGAAAATTTGCATACATAAGTAAAAGTTAAAAAAAAGATGAAGAATTAATTACTTTTTCGTTTTATTTCTTATTTTATTTTATTTATTTTTTTATTTTAAAATATCGTTTCTGGTTTAAGGAAGAGAAGATTAGTTATTGTATCTTTTATAAAAAAAAATAGTTTTTTTTTGTTTTTTTTTTACAAAGACAAAAAACAAATCAAAGTGTTGAATGAATTGACAACATTGCCTTTTTTTTTTTTTTTTTTTTTGCAATGTCAATATGATTTTCACATTTATTTATAATAATTTTTTATTATTTTCATATTATTGTGCACGTAAATTATGTTAAATTAGCCTGTCTTCTTTTTTACACAGATGTAAATAAAAAAACAAAATAAGAATTTTTAGACCATATTTTACTTACTATTTTGCCAGCAAAGAAAAGCACAAGGAAGAAAATTTTTTCTTAGTCTGGTAAATAAACTCTTTTCAACAATCAGTGGTGATGGTTTTTGTTTTTTTTTTTTTACGAAACCACTTCGCTAACAAAGTCATGAAGAGATAAACTTAATTTTCTAACCGTCACATTACAACTGGCCATATTTTTCCGGAAATACCAACCGAAATGATATTATTACTTACTTTTTGTTTGATTTAGGTTTTCTTGAAAAGATTCTTTTTATTAAACAAACACTAATTTATTTTCCTTTATGTTTTGTTTCTCATACAAGTATTCTCGACCATTTTTGTCCTTTTTAAACTTTAACTTTAATATAATTTTTGTTTTTGAAATTCTCCAATTTATATATTGGTTCGAAATGCTGGATTAAACCCCCCCCCCCCCTCCGCCAAACGTACGGATAAAAAACAATTTCATAATGCCTTGGAAGAAAAAATTATGAAATAAAAAAAATAAAAAAATGAAGGCCACCGTCTATTTTTAATTTTTTTGTGTTAATTCTCCTTTCATTTTTTTATTGTATTGTCAAAATAAAAAGCTGCAACTCAAATACAAATGAAAAATGCCTTATTATTTACTTTACAATACACAAGAGAACTCTTCATGTTTGTTATCACGTTTCGGTCCTTATGGCTTTAAGTCTTTGTCAGATTCTGTGTAATCTTCAAGGAATTTCAAACTGAACCCTTTATTTAATCTACATGGTAGACAGATTCTTCTCATTGTGATGACTGTGTCTAGCCTAGTGTATTAAAGCATTGGTTTGAGAATTTGGTAACATAATTGTGTATTCATTCCCTGGGTTGGGAACTGTGTACTTGAACTCAAGGGAAACTGGGTGAACAGCAACTGAGCAGTACTGCATAAAAACTAGATGAGATATCCCTGGACAGCAGAACGAGAACAATTTACCTCTGTAGATTAAATAAAAGGTTCAGTTTGAAATTCCCTGAAGGTTACCCTGATTGATGAAGGATGGCAGATACAATGGCTGAAACATTGTGATAACAAAGATTAGGTCAATAGTCCATATGTAAACAGTGATAACTCCTCATCCCAGAAATACAGACAGAAAGCCTGCATTTATATATAGAAATTTTCATTGTAATACGCTATAGGCAAATCATGTAGTCTGGTTTTACTTTCACATAAAAAAAAATACAAACTTTTTTTTATACATGAGAAAAGAATTAAATGATCAAATTTGAACAGACTGATTTGCATATTCCAAAGTCCATTTGCAGTTCTGTAGAGGAGTAGATAGGTTTGCCTATCGTCTGGTTCAACTGGGTCTTTCAAACAGGAGTAGGGGTTTATGCCTTGTTTCTGGTTCCTTCTAAAGTCTACATCTACTCTATACTCCTAATACTAATACAATTCCACTCAGTAACCCTGTACATTGAGTGACTTTTTGGATTTGTATTGGCTGAACATTAAGAAAAACAATAAAAAAAATTGCTGTAGTTTTAAGCAAACCACCTATTTCCCCCACTCCTTATTTTTTGTATGCTTAGATGTTAAAGAAAAATGTTTATTTTACATAAAATTTCATACGTACAAAAATGCTTGTTATAATAAAATCTACAATTTGATTTTCTAATAAATTTCTAATTTCATCTTAAATATTATATAAGGTGGATGCTGAGAAGTTCTCAGCTTCACCAAGAAAGGATTCCCCAAATCTTCTGTTTGATCAGATTTTAGGAAGTGGATTGGGTAGAGAACAGTTCAGCCCTCATTGCCCCATGTACAAATATTTAAGTGTTTTTGTGTGTTTCCTTGTTATATTTTCTTATGGCTGCATCACATTGAAACACTGGTTCCTGTACTATGACCAAATTTAAGCAGCATCAGGCCTGGTCAGTACCTAGGTGGGTAACCTTTTGAAAAAAAGCAGATGCTGTAACCTTGGATGTGTGGGTGGTGTAATGGATAATAGCACAGAATTGTTAATCAAAGAGCCAAGTTCCAATTTCTGCAGGGTTTGTTATATTCACTTATGCACAAATGCCCTTTGGAAAGGTATGAATCCACTTCTCCTCCCAGGTATGGGTTAATTAGTAAAACTTGTATCACTAAACCATTATTATCTCAAAAAACATAATTCTTACAATCTAAAATTATTTTCTGGCTTTAAATAACCTGAAATGGGTTGATTGAATTAAATCAATCAATTCTCAGACTAAAACTTACTGCAAAGTTGCAACTAATATTATGAGATAACACTTTCCTGACACTAAATATTTTTTTAAATGTTGTTCACACAATTTACATGTTTATCCTTGTAGACTGAGGTTCAAGAACCAGTTAGCCTCTTTTTTTGTTATTTTCTTGCTTATTGTTATTATTGTTTCGATTCACTTCTTTGTAGAGATTTATTTTATCATCATTGCTCTTCTTCCTCGGTTGCTGTTTCTTTGTTTTATATATACAACTAGCAGTAGAGCCCGGTGTTGCCCAGGGATGTAACAGTAAGAGATAGATCAAGTATCGACCATCGTAATGACTGAAAAATAAAATTGACAGACATCATTGTTTAAGGTTGACGGACACGCATGTCTTAATTAGTTTTTTTTTTTGTTTTTTTTTACGAATTAGTCATTGTTTTCAATCATTATGAGTCTATCGATTGAATAGAATTTTATTATAAACAATTGTCTTGTAAATGGAATTTTTAAAGCATTCTGAATATAAAAATAAAGAAAAAAGTGTGCAAGACAATAAGAAACACTACCTGCCAAAAAAAAGTGAAGTTTTGTTGAAATCGGTTGAAAAATGTAGGAAATCCAATCCCATATATAAATGAACACACATACCCACAAACAACCTGGGTTTTATAATAAGTATAACTCGATATGAGTTGTCCCCCTTTCATTCTGGTGACAGAATTGTTTTATCGTGTTTTCAAATTGATTTCATACAAAAACAATTGTGTTTTGCCAATTTTTTGCGCTGTCAGAACCACCGCAAGGTAATTTTACGCAGTCCTGTGAAGTTTTGTTGAAATCGGTTGAAAAATGTAGGAAATCCGATCCAATATATAAATGTACAAACACACACAATCTGCGTTTTATAATAAGTAAGATTTTAATAGTATTAGTAAAGTTTTTTTACCCCCACATAGACTACTTGACACTAAATAATTTCAAATTAGATCACAACATGGAATTTGGTTAGTGTCCACAAAAAAATTATTTCAACATATTATGGCTACTCTAGATATTAGGACCTTTACATAATGCCATCTATACTTTTTTTCCTTCTTGGTTACCATTAGAAATTACTATACAAGATGTAATCTCTAAAGAAGTGATGGAATTTTATTTATTAATCTAACTGATTTTATTACTTAAATGTTATTTTTAGTAGATAACCCATATTTGAGTAGACCATCTGTTCTATTTATTAAATGGTATTTTTATTTATTTTCATCTACCAGCCTGAATATTCAAGAAATCTTATTAAAGAAAAATGTATGCTCTCCAGCAGGATTCAAATTAAAATTTGTCAGATTAATAAATTAAAAAAATTCATTACTTCTTTAAAAATTATTGTTTACTTTAGGATACAAAACTGATCAGATACGAATATTTAGAGTCCAAGAAAGATTTGCATTTATAAGGCACTATTCAACTTTGCTTGATCATAAGTTCATAAAATAAAATTTTAAAAATTGCTAAACACAATTAGTCCAGTCTAACAGAGACATGTTCTATCTGGAGATTATATGTATATTTTTTATATTTTTAAAGAAAAATATACACCCACTGTAACATTGTTTATTAATTCTATCCAGTTTGAGGTCACATATATTTTTTTTTCTTTCATAACCTCAGGAGGGGCATGAAATCATAACCTAGCAATGATTATATTGTTGTATTATTATTTTTTCTTCTAAATTTCATAAAGGACTTAGATGTGTGTATATCTAAAAAAAAAAAAAAATTTTTTTTTTTTTCATTCCAGTTTTCAAATCCAATTATAGTTGATGAAAGTTCAATGTCAAACATTTCCCTTGAAGATGAAGAGAACCAGTTGCTTTCAGAGCCTGAGTCAGTCCAGGCCCCATTGCCGGACAAGTGGAACCAGAACCTCACCTGGCTTGGACTGTCTCTTAAAGTTCTCCTCTGGTTGGTGCTCTGGGGACTGGCCATAGAATTTGGCTTTGGAGCCATCTATTTCATTCTGGCTTCTTTGATTGTCATTTACAAAAACACACGATCGAGCCCTAAGAAGAAAGATGAGTTGAGCGCTTACTCTGTTTTCAATCCAGACTGTCAACGACTTGATGGAACACTTACAGCAGAACAATTTGAAAATGAAATAAGATATGGTGGAATGGCAACAAGAAACTGATAATATACACAAAACCTGAATTGTCTTTTTTTCAATCTCTTCACGTTTCATGAACAATGCATCAACATTCTATGACGTTATTCCAGAAAGAAGCTCCATTTGTAATGCATCAACCTATATAATAATTAGTAATGTGTATTTATTTATATATTTCCTGTCCCATCTTTGGTGGGAAGAGAGGTAAATCAACTTAAGCTAGTAAATTTATGAATGATTACTTCCCTTAGTCATTTTAATAATCTATACAAATAAAATATCTGCATTTAGACAAAATTAGTTCTCAAGCAAAATGAACCTTTTAATTAATCAGCTCCTTTACTCCTACATTTCATGTGAGGCACTCAGATACCTTGTCTATTTAGTGATCATCTTCCTTTAACATGGTTTTGAAATAGGCTTTGTCATCACTGTCTTTGTCATTCTTCCAAGAGATATTTTCATTTCACTCTTATATTAAACACAAAATTCTTAACATGAAATATTGGGCAAAAAACGATTTATATAAAACCAGGAGTAATCAATGAATCAGATGTCATTGAAGGTCTAAAAAAGAAAATATAATGGGAATGAATTAAAGTTCATTGGCTTCTATTTTAGTTGTGAATTCTTTATCTCCACTTGATTGAATCTCTGTGTTGTTTAAAGACATTTTATTGAGCAGGTTCTCATTACTATATTTTTATTCTAGAAAAAATGTTTCTTTCAAGAATAAAATATACCTTTGTCCATAAGGCCAGTGTTATGCTTTCAAAAAAAAAAAAAATTAATATGCACAAAATTTGTTATAAATTCCTCATTTATATAAAGCATTGTGTAATATTTTTCAAGTACATTTGATTTTAAACTGACATTTTTATAAAGAATAAATTCCCTTTTGATTGAAAAACCTTGAGAATGTTGATGTGTTTTTCAAGAAACTTAATTTACTCTGTATACATACTGTCAAGTTTTATTTGAATCATTGACATAATCAGTTATGTACAAAAATATGTTCAAGTGTCCATTTGTTTCTATTAGTGTAAATTATGTTAATATTTTGCCTTTGCAAGATCATTCAAGTAATTGTTAGCAAGAACAAAATTCTTATGATATTGCTCAAGAATAGAAAAATTGGAGTTTAAACTTTGCATAACACTATATTAACTCTTAATTTTCTCTAGTTAAACCCAAATCTAAAATAAATTTATATAAAGTCAAACAAGGAATACTATTAGTTTTGTGAATTGTCTACATAAATGTAAAGAAAGTTTGGTTTTTTTTGTTTTTTTTTTTTAGACAACTTGTACTATACTAATTTGTAATAGTGTCCTCATTTTGGTTGTCATCATCATAAGTTGTCCATTTTCATGTATGGGTTGTAGTCAGTAATCCTCCAGGTTTTCTGATTTGTACCTTTTTTTTTTTTCTCTCATTCTACTGTCCATGCTATAGGGTATCTAATATCAGTTAATTTTTTTCATGTCTCTTCCATTGAACCAGAGCATATGATTTTTTTTTGCTTTATCTAACCCAACTGAACTTGTTTAACTAATGCTTTCATCTAAGCTATTTGTCAAGTATGGACAGGGGAAAAAATCTCTCTGGATTGAATAACAGGTTCGTTTTGAAATTGTCGGCTTATGAAAAACACCAGAAAAAGGCCAAAGGATACAATGACTGAAACATGATGATAATAACCAATCTGAATAACTAAATTTATATAATGAAAGTAGTTAAGTTTTTAATAAATTATATTAATATTCTTTGGCTTAGCAATGGAAGAAAAATCATGTTACTATATAAATTACTTTATAATTCTCATAGATATTGCAATTCTTATTTATTCAAATGAACATAGCACCCTTAAAAATATGAGATTATGAGTTGTCATTTCTGTCTCAGTATCTGTGCACTTTGATGTTAGGCAAAGTGTCTCTTGCCTGTACTTTTGCGTAGTAGCAGTATAGCATCTATAATACATAATACATATATAGCTATCATTTGCCAATGGCAACAAAGTAGGAAATCTAAAGAAACCTGGAAAGAAAAGCAAGACATACAGAGACTTGCTCCCTTGTTTTATTACTTATTTCATCTTTTAAAGTGGCTTAAACTTTAAGATTTGATTCTTTTACATGTATATTTTTAGCAAGCTAGTCTTGCAGACCATTTTCAGTGTAAGAATTTTTTTTTTTCTTTTTTTTTTTGTGGTCACTGGATAACATTCTATTGGTTGCTTATGGCAAATTAAACTAAGTTTAAATATTGCCAACAAAAGGTCTTTTTGGTGATTTTAATTTTTAAAACCTGGCCCTCTCCATTTGGAAGATCGACCCAGAACAATCTTCCTTCTGCCCCCATATACTAGATGAAAATAATTTTAGTACGCATCTGTAGGAAAGAGAAGGATTTTTTTAAAAAAATAATGCATCTTCAAATCATTAGGAATTGTAAACATTTGGACTCACTGATGTACAATTTATAATGATAGAAAGGCAAGGCATAGTAAGGCAAAGTTTATTATTACAATTCAAAACTGTAAATATGAAACTATAAGAATTAATACGTTAAATTGTCACTGTATAATGTCTTCCTGGGGATTTCTTTCTCAGGTTTGTTCTATTTTGTTTTGAATCATAATAAATGTGATATCTGTTAATGATTTCAATAGATTTATCTTACCCAACGAGCAGAATGGTGTCTCTGAAACTTCAAGTTGGAAAACAAGTCCTTTGACCTTTTATCTAGTTCTATTTTTAAATGTTTAGTACTTTGCAAAAAATCTGCTTACCTTGATCACAGTATTCAAATAATTTACTAGTAGAAGTGTTTTGTTGGGCATAAACTATATAGAGTTGGGTGGCTTGGCAACTTATGTTTTGGTATCAGTTTCCAGTTTTGTTTTCCTTGATGCCACGGTCCAATCTTTAAAATATTCATATGATTGGAAAGAAAATAATATAATCTTCCTAAATATGTAATTTGTATGTGCTTTTATTCCTTTTTTACAGCGAGTTAAAACGGTATAGCATCAACCAGCCAAAAATGCGAAATTTTTTTTTTTTTTTCCTGGGAGACTAGATTTTACATAGGTAACCCCATGAGATTGCTAAAAAAGAGCATAGCATGATGAAAACGATGCCAAACTTAACAAAAACAAAATTTTATTGCCTAAATGTTATTATTAAGAGGAAAGAACAAAGTTTTTTTATTATTTTTTCTTATATTTAGAAGGTTTAATTTAAAAAAAAAAAAAATAAAAAAAAAACCTTGTTTCTATTTGTATCACTGGAATTAGTAAAAATAATTGTCACATATTAATGAAACTTTCAGAAACTATTCATAGATGATGGAAATTATTATAAATGGGTTTTTTTTTTTTATTATTAAAGTCATGGCAGAAATATTTTTTATATTTATTTGGGCTGTAATTATAAAGTACGGAAGACCAACCAGAATACAATTAAGTTGCATTATTTGAGTTAAGCATTGTTCTCCACTGTTAAGGCCTTTACTTTTGCGAAACACAAGTGAAGAAGTTAATTTGATTTTTCACTTTCAACTGAGAAGGGTACCTACAAGTATCAGTATCATCTTATGAAATTTATATGATCTTATTTCTATATTAATCTCAAATATGACATTTTTCCATAAATGAAATATCAAAATTAATGATAAAATGAATGGAAATACAAATAGCACAGTAAAATGTAATAAATATACATAAAATTATAGTATTTTATGTACACATCTGATAAAATTTCATAAAAAGGTACCTATAAATTAATTAGATACCTTATGAAATTTAATCTCACTCTTAACAGTCTTATTTTAATTTCTTTATAATATATTTTCCCTAAAGCATCATAAATGTAAAGGTGAAAGCTAAGTAAAAAAAAAAAAATTAGAGCAGTGAAAGTTTTCCTTAAAAATAACGAGGTAAATAATTTGTTCACTTAAATCTAAATAATTTTACTTCTCTCCTTCCATAGAACAAATTATCTTCACATAATCCGTCAATACATCATTCATCACCTGTCAAGTGTCGCGAAATGTTATGACCTACTTCGTTTAATTTTCAAACTACACCTTTTTGGCACAGAAACTAAATAATGCTGGTTTCAAAATATTTTAAATAAGCATAATTTCTGATTTTCTTAAAATAAGTTTTGAAAAAATGACAATTGATTTTTAAAAGAATTTCAGAGATTTTTATGAAATGGAAACAAATGACTGACATAATTGATTATCTGTCAATTTTGCTGACTCAAAAAAAAAAAAAAGAGATGATTTTTAACGAACATTTTGGACATGCTAGGAACGATTTAAAAATGTAAAAAAAAAAAATACCCCCAAAATACTTTGATCTTTCCTTTTAACAAACATTTAGACGATAAAATTTTGTTTTCGTCAAGTTTGGCGTCTTTTTCATCATGCTATGCTCTTTTTTAGCGATCTCATGGAGGTACCTAACTACTTTGTTTCGCAAAATCGAAGTGACCAATCTTTATCAATATTACTCAATTAAGAGACAAACTACAACCAGGAAGATATTTAATTTATTTCTTCTCTGACCCGATGAAGCGATTTCCTTCAAAAATTATAAGCACAAAAAAACAAAACTGCAATTCTTTTCTGGTACACCAGTCAACTGTTATTGGTGTTTTGCAAATTAAATTTCTTCTAAACAAGGAAAATCAATGAGTTATTTTCCCCCTAAATAAATTTTTTCTAGCGAATACACCTAAAAATTTAAAAATAATTAAAAGCTTTTAATTTCATTTTTAGAATGTGTAGATATCCAAATCTCTTGAGTATCACCTGTTTTTTTTTTTTTTTGGGGGGTCGGTACACATTTTAAAACTGAAATTAAAAACTATTTTAATCATTTTATAATCTTAAGTGTATTATTCGGCAGATAAAACCTCAAAGTAAAGATATTTGTAAAAATAAAATGAATTAAATTTTCCTTCTTTAAGTATTTTAACACGCACCGATGACTAGTGGCTAAAAAAAAAATACTTTTTTAACTTTGGGTTTAAAACAAAATGACTTGCAGTTTTGAAAATATACACATTTTAAAACTGAGATTAAAAAAAAAACTTTATTTTTTTAATATCTTACGTGTATTCGCTAGATAGAATTTTATTTGTAGAAAACAGAGACTCGCATATCTGGAAATATACACTACACATCTTAAAAGTGAAATTTTACTATTAATTATTATTAATATCTAATTTAGGTGCATTCCCTAGATTAAAAAAAAAAAAAAAAAAAATTTATTTACTAATAAAAGATTTTCATTCATTTTTCTTGATTACAACAACTTATTTCGGGATTGGCGTACACTGACTTACTAGAAAGAAAGCCATTACAAAAAAAATCCGGCTTCATAAAATTTAACATTAAGAATAAGACGCAACTTTTTTTTTTTTATTATTATTTTTACTCGCTATTTTGTTAACTTAATTTTACCGCAAAAAGTTTTTTTTTTTTTTTTTTATAAACTGAAACAAATAGATTTCAGACATCATGTCATATTTTCTTTTTTTTCTTCTTCATTTCTTTTGTAAACAAGTAGATTTCACATTTATTTCCTAAAACTAGTCAATTAAATGTTTTTAACATATTTTTGTTCAATCTTTTTCTCTTACAATGGTATAAATGTTGATAAAACTTAATTTTATTAATATCTGAAAGTCTTTTTCAATAGTGTTTCTTTAGATATGGTCACTCAGTAGTGAAAATCGAAATCGTTCGATTTTGTAAAAAATTTCCATGTGGTTTCACGGTGAGGATGAATTAAAGTATAGCCTGGAATATATACATGAAGTAAGGATACCTGTCAATTCCTTATAAAATAAGGCAAACAAAATCAATGCAAAAAAGAAAATAAAAAACACTTTCTGAAAGCAACAAGTTTAATGCTGATCCTTACTATGAAGGCTAATTTCATCTCGTATCTCATATAGGCTTTTTAGGAAGTGATCCAGTTTCTTTTCATCCATTTCAAAATGCAACAATTCAGGCTGAAAAAGAAAAGCAGTACTCAACATTGTAGCATAACACAACATGAATTAGGCAATCATTTATGGAGCACCAAGTCAGGCACAATATCACTGTTAATGGCTTGCGAAACAAATACAATACAATACAATGGAAATGTTAGGGATGTCTCTCCTCAAAACATTTTAAAACCAACAAGTTACATAAAAGTTTCAATTTTGCAATTGGAAGGTTAAATTTTTTTTCAAAGAGATTCATTTTTTTTTCTATCAAGTGAGAAAAACATTCAAATTACAAAATTTTCTAATGAACACAATTTAATAACAAATTTAACAGAAGTAGCAAAAATAAGAGGCAACAGTACACTGGAAGGTTTTGACCCCCCCCCCCACACACACACACACTCTCTCACAGAAATGGAATAACTGTATAATTGTGACATAATAGATAAAGAAGTTGTGTAGCTGTGGCAGCCATTGGCTGCAAACAGGAGTTAATGCTTTTTGACAATGGAATAATGTTGGGTGAGAAACAGAAAGATAGGATGTACTATCTTCAAGGTGGCAATTTCTCTCAGTTCTTCTTGGACACCAATAGCAAGAGTATACTATGAATATATGAATTGCAGACATATATCAGTGACATGTTAAAATTGCAGATACCCATAGGTGAGTCAAGAACAATGATTACCCCATGAAAGGGGAACATTGTATCAAATCACATCAGGGTTTCAGAATTGCCTCATCACCATGGCTTTGGTTATTGCATTTCACCTGAGCCAGAGAACATCATCCTTGTTTCCATTGGTGATGGTTTAATCCAATAAAATACCCCTCTATCATGAATGGATGATAGGAAATTGGTTCAAGGAACACTCAACTAATTTTCAGGTACTCCATTTTCACCTACACTGTAGAAAATGTTATTTTCCCTGCAGCCATACCCAACAAAGAAAACTCAGACAGCTTTAGGACATGTCTGAATAAATAGACCAACACACTGGATCCAACACTTTGTAGGCTTCATGCTAACTTCATAACTCCCATTATTAAGAGATTATGTAAACATCTCCAATATCTTTTGGTACTTAAGTTTATAAAAACAATATTTTTCACTTACTTTTTCATTTCCATTCAAGGTTTCTTGATTATCACTCAATTGCAATTCTATAATTGCAGTTGGTGCATTGACATGATCATTGTTCTTGGATTGGGTTTTAATATCAACTCTCCAAGACATCTGCTTCAGACTTGTGTCCCACATAGTTTGCTGCACTTGAGTTTCATGAATTTTTGTCCGGTGATTCTTCCAAAACTTCCTTACAGCATTTGATTTTTCTTCATTCATCCCACTGTCTTTTTTTCGAATCTGAGACGTAAGGAATGCTTCTAATTGGTTGAAATCCATATCCACAGAAACCATACTCTAAATAATAAAAATAAAATTTGAATAGAGAAAACCTCTAGAGATAAAAAAAAAATCAGTTTGTCATGTTATCAGTAGTTTTTCTAGAGTTAATTGTGAAATAATGTGTTCCCACTGATTGATAAAGGAAAATATTAAATTACTAACCTTTTTATGTGATGATGTCCAAGTGGTAATGATTAATTTCAAGATCTGGCTGAATTCATATATACAGTTTACTATTAGAGATTAGGTGCTACCCAGACATTTTTTCTTGCTAGAGAGTCTTAAAGAATAGCCAGTCACACTTTATAGAAGAAATAAGTCTTTAGTGTTTAATACTTATTTATTAATAAAGAATTAGGCTCTCCCATTGCATTACAATTTAAACTGTGACTGACAGTTAAACATAAAGTGAATGACCTCTTTGTCTCATATTAAAACTCATGCCCAATAAAAATTTCTTGTAAAAAAAAAAAAAATCTCTTAAACTGGAAAGTTAAAATATCAGCTGACCTGTTTTATAAAATGTCCAGTTTTAAAAAGATGCGTATTGACCTAAATTTGTTTCAAATCAAAATCTATTTTAATGTGTCAATGACCAATGTAAACAAAATGCATCTCCAACAAACTTGAAATTTCATTTTTATTTTGTATTGCTTCAAATGTTATTCTTCATGGATTCACATATTTTAGTAGACATTCAAAGTAGTTTTTAAAGAATTAAAGGAATTTATTTTTTTAATCTGATATTTAAAAAATGTTTTTTCTATTACTTCAAACATTATTTTTAGTGGATACCTGTATTTCTTGAGTCCACATGCCAGTAGATGAAATAAATACTGTTTAAAATAAACAAAACGTCTACTGAAATACAGATATCCACTAAAAAAAGCATTTGGGATCAGACAGTGGTTCCTCTTGCAAAGGGGGACTCAGGATCAAACTTGCCAGTGAGCACATTTCCTTTACAAAGTTTTTTCAAGTTCACAGGTAAGTAGACAAAATAAATACTTTAAAATAAACAGAATATCTGCTCAAATGCAGGTAGCCTCTAAAAATAACTTTTGAAGTATAAAAATACCATATAAACTGTAAAAATAATATTAGAAAGCCTTCACCATGAAAAACAAACTGGCAGCAATAAAATTTCATTCAATTTAGGAAAAAGACACAAGGGAATGTATGTATGTATGTATGTATGTATGTATGTATGTGTGTGTATAAAGATGCAATACTTGAAAAAAGCTGACATGGCACTGGCTGACACATGAGGACACTATACTCAAAGACTGCCAAAGAGACACAATGCATACCTCTAGACATATCCTTATTAATTCACAAAAAATTCTTTTATGATGGGCTATGAAATTCAAAAGGGCTCAGAAGACATTGGAAAATTTATGTTCAAACTCTACTTGGAAACCAGGAAAATATCCCAAACCAAAAAAAAAAAAAAAAAATTCTAAAATATCTTATTTTTAACCAAACATGCAGAGAAAAAAAATTATATATACATGAGAGAGAACCGCTAAAGAAAATAACACTAGCATTGGTGGTTGCAGCTTTGTTTAGATAAAAATTGCCATCATTAGAAGACCAAAGTTTCTATTGCCACTCTTTGTTTAAATTAATCAGTTAATCAAGAAGGAAAGAAAATTAATTCTAAATAATCACAAAAAATAGTTCCCCCACCTTATGAAAAAAAAAAGCCTTAATGAAATTTGTCGTCAATACACCATATTTAACTATGAACAGTGAACACATTCGGCGGGCAAACCACCATCAATAAATCGATTAACACATCAGAAAAAAAACAAGACCCCGTGGTTAGAAAAGAGCTTGTATACCACATTTTTATGCTAGTAAGTAATATTTGTTTCAAATCAGATTCTCAACTTTAAATTTGCTTATTTTTCCTCAAATGTTTCCGGTTTCAGAAATATATATTTTATTTTTGCAAGATTTTTAAAACGTAGAATTAAGTTTTGTTTACAAATGTCTAAAAAAAAAAAAAAAAAATCCAAGTCTATTCCAATCAATAATTTCTGTTTGAAATACACCAAAAAAAGTATTTTGCTTACCAGGTAAATAATCATTTTTTAGGTTTCATTTCTTTGTCATTTTAAAAAAAATTCATTTAAATCTTACCCAATTCGTGGAGGTACCTACATTGAATATCGTAATAAAATTCTATCTAGTTTATTAATTCTTCTCTTGTCTTTCATCTCTTCCACTGATCAATTGCTGCACCACACGACCCAGTGATTGAACCCACGACTGTCAGATAACTCAATTCGTTGAAGTTCAGCTTTTATTCTTACGACAAACACTTGAAGACAGTCGGAGAGTACACAAGCCAAAATTATGAAGCTAACAATTCAAAACAACCAAGAAATAGTTGTATAAAAAGTGGCTTTCTTTGCCTTGTTTTTAATAGCAGTAAATTTCAGGTTAAAAAAAAAAGAAAAAAAATCCTTAATGGAATGCTAACAAATATTCTTACCAATTTTCAAATCTACGGTAGAAATGTTGAGCTTATGCTGTAAGGTTGGGGAAAATGGCTGAGGTTTCGTTTTATTGATAATTTGATTTAACGAACCTGGCCGCGGAAAAGAAAATTCAATCTAGGAAAATGACACCACTGTTTACGAAACCAGTATTAACATTTTTATTTTTAACCACTGTACATTATCTACGAAGGTGCCTATACTTTTTCAAAAAGCTGTAGTATTTTAAAATTAATGTAAAATTGAAAATGTCATAGTCACACTTTCTTTAAATAAACACACAACAAAAATATTTGATTTCTTTAATGAAAGGACTTTGTTTTACTTTTCATTTCGGGTACGGACAAACTTAAATCTGGGGAAGCCAAAAGTCACTGTGACGGAATTGTTATGCTTTCTTTGATGATTACATTGCAGTTATATTTTTCAATGAGGGATCATTTTTACTCAGCACTTATTATTTCGAAAGTTTCTTCTCTTGCAAGCGGAAATCAGTCACAATTGTTGATCGATATTTCTGAACTTTTTCATTTACGAAATTTTCTCATAAGCTAAGAATAACAATAAATAAATACGCACTTTTCAGGAGGGCGTATGTTTTGTCTTTATGCTGATTGTCGAAGCAAAACACCTGTCGTCTACTACTACCTATCGCGAAATTACTAGTATAAGACCAATTAGACAGAACTTGAAGAGCAGAGTTACTTTACTCTTCTCTTGGGGAAGGATAGAGTAACCAGCTGATTAATGATTTTTTTTTTTTTTTTACTACACTAGCCACATTCCTCGCCCCTTTTATCTTCTTGATTCAGTGTTAAAAAAATGTTGCGAGTTGTCAAGAAACACCTACCTTTGTAAGAGCAGTGCATTTTGTAACTAGCTGCTGGAACTCTTCGTCGGATATTTTGGGATATATTTGCTCTTTTAGGAGCTCGTCAGTTAATTCTGAGTTTCCAAAATAATTCCGTCGAGCCAAACCGTTTAAGAGGGCACCGAAACATCTTCGGTCGTCCGCCATGACGTCTGCATGTAGCAAAATTGAGTAGAGAGTTATACAAAAATAAGTTACCCCCCTTGAAGCACGAGACTCTCAGACTTACAAGTGAAATGTGTTTGGGTCAGTTGATGTGACTGTCACTAGTTAAATTAATAAAAAGTTAGGAATAGTGATGACCAGCCTTCCACATTTGGCCTTTGTGCTAAATTTTATGTAATTTTTACATTAATAAATATTGAGTTAACATAACCGTTCACTTTGTATAGACATTACAGGCAATTTTCTTAACAGTGAAATGGTTTTTGTGAGTGAGCTTAAAGGCCAAGGGAAAATAGTAATTAGACAAAAAAAAGTTAATCTTGTTCTTGCATGTTGTAAAAGTAAAACGATTCATTGCATTCACAATTTAAAAAGGGGTATTTTAATCATGCTATAACTTTTTAAAAGACCTTTAACTGAAATTTGACACAAATTTAGGTTACTACCAAAGTATTTTATCCTTTATTATTAATTTTTTTTAACAAAAACCTCTAAATTGCTTTAAATTTTTTTAAAATTCTAGACTTGAGAAAAACATTTATTAAATAACTTTATTGTTTATTTTTATTTTTCTCAATCTTCATAAAAGCATGTGAGAAACCTTAATATGATGTGTTCCATGTGAATGTAAATTCCAACCATCAGAAAAATTTAAAAAGCTAAATAATATCACAATTTTTTTCATTTCTTTTTGCAATGTTCAGTTTTTTAGGTGTGCAATTTTCCTAATTATACACTGATTTACTTGAACCAATGTCCTCATCTTGTATGTCATAACATTTTGGTCATTTCACCCTCTAGTAGGTGCCTATCATATTTGGTAACATTCTATGAATTTCAAACTTAACCCTTGATTCTACCAATGCAAATTGTTAGAATGTTCTCATTTTCATTTATCAGTTAATCAGTGTAGCATTAAAAAACTTTGTTGTCTGCCCTTGACTCACCTACAATTTATGCACATGTCAAAGGATAAAAAAGTGTTGTGTTAGTTTGGCTTGAGGTGAAAAAATTAAGTCTCTAGGACAGTTGGAACCAATTCATCACAATGATAGTATATGTATTTCAGTCTTCCATTTTCTCTTGTTTGATTTGGCCGAAGCCAAATCACTGATGCAATGACAACCATGTCCACCTACTAAGTAAGGTTTTAATTCACTTCTCTGTTCCATATCTGTTAATATGTATCTGTTTCACTGCTTTAATCAATTATTGTTGCATTTATGCTCTGTGAATATGTAGTTAAAGTGTTTTCTCTCAAGCAATAATACATGTCCTTCTTTGTGTTCACTCATGGATAAAATTGTCAGTATATCACAGGTATAGTTATATTTGGGAACGGTGAAGTAAATTTTTCTTCAACAGCTATTTTCAATAAAAGTAAATAAATTTCACTGATTGAATTCAGTCATTAGGTAGCAACATATATTTAACCAACCCTTATATTCATTTGGCTATTGTAATATATAGAACATTAGGATGGGGGAATTTTAAGGAACTTAAATTTATTTTCTGTACCTTTTTAATGAAAGACTCCTATATGATACTGTCTTCTGTGCTTGACCAATGGAGGAGGTTATCAAATTCTAGCATGTATTCTGATTTTTTTTTTTCAATTTGGTTCTTTTTAACTTCATTTTATAGGGATACTGATGCCACCCATCTTTTTTATGAACAGATGATCAGTATGTCTGATGCCATATTTCTGCTAAGTCTGCAAAGAGATATGTCGTCTGGTATTGTTCTGATAGCAGATGACAGACTTCCAGTTGGTCAGTTCCAGACACTTTTCATCAATTGCTGCCATTCACTCCAAGCAAGGCAATAATGCCACTAAGACGCCAAGTGCTACTAAGAGTGAAAGAGAATGAAAAGATTTTAGAAGGAATCAGAAACTCAATCCTAAACAGGGAACAAGAGATAAACCTCTACTCCTGTTCAAAAGACCAGGGAAGAGTGTGAACCAGATGATAGGCAAATGTATCTACTCCTAAGGAGGAGAGAGAGAAAAAATTAGTAAATAAAATTTCAGGATTCAGACAGAGATGTTAGAAGTATAGAGTTTAAGTAAACTTTAAAAGTCGGAAACCCAATCCTAAACAGGAAATGAGGAATAAACCTCTAATCCTGTTCAAGAGACTGTTGGGGATGTGTGAACCAGATGATAGACAAACCTATCTACTATTTAGTAACAGTTCTTGTTTGAATTCTGTAGGAAAAAACCTGAGATTCTGTAGCACAGACACTGGAAACATACTTGCAATGGATTCTGGTTCAGCACACACCAATATGACCTGCGCCAAATGCACAAACCTTCTAATGACTCAATAAACACTTGCCTTTTTTTATACATTCTTGCCAAGCCAGAGAATTTGAATACTGGGCACACTGCCAGCCTCGATATAACTCACTGCTCCATGCACCTTGTCATTCCAGTGCCGATGCTCAGACGATTTACCTTGCTAGCAATTTGCTCACACATTTAGGCTACGCTGCTCTAGCCCTCTTGGACTTCCAAGGTAATTCTCTACAAATTCAACACCTGATCTTACAGAAGGATCTTGTAATATACAATGCCCTTCAATCTCAACAGATAGTCTTTTGGTCATTCATTTCATTTTCCCCAGGACCTTTTTTGCTTCACATTGTTGTAAATCAAATTCCTTACAATGTTCATATGAGATATGTGGTGTTTCTCTGTGATGTCCCATGACATGTGACTTGAGTTATTTTTAACCAACATTTTGATATGGTCATCATCAACACATGCTGGCTTGCCAGAATGTTCTCAGTCATCCAGATCAAATTTTCCACTTCTTAACCTAGCGAACTACTTGCAAACATTACTCACAACTATGGCACCATCTCCATAAACAGCATATCTCATTTTTCTGTTTGTACAGTGTTGATTACTTTCCAGAAATAAAAGCGCATCAAATGATGAAAATGCATCACATTTTCCTCCATTTTCATTTTTAACTTAAGAAAATTTAAAATTCACAATCTACACATAAATTCTATAGAAAGATATGTTGAAATATCACCATTCAGAAAATGTATATATGTTATAAATTTCAGTTGTGTTGAAATGAAATGATGTGTCATCTATTGCACATTTGTTCTCACCCAGTAAAAGAGTAAAGTGTAGTTGTGTATTTATGCCTATAACATTTACACTTCCATGTGACAATTCCAGGTGACAATTGTTATGACAATGGTGTACTGTGCAAAGATGTTTATAAAGCTGAGATATGGAAAGAATTAGTCTGTGAATAAGCACAGTAGAACTATGATTATTGAAAAAATCTATTTAGAGATTCATGTCAAAACTTTCTAATAATAATAAGGGTAAGAAAATCACTTTCATATATGCTATAATTTTTGAGAACAGGGATAAACTTTATTTACATTTGGATTAATGTCTTTATCTTTGTTGTTATTTTCACAATGTTTCAGTATGAAGGCTACCTGGATATCAGAATCAACAGACACCTGAAAGGGGCTGGAGGGTACAATGGCTGAAATAGTGGAATAATAAAAACAAAGATGAGGACATTAGTTTGAATATAAATAACAGTAATTCCTCATTGTAAAAGTTATGAATAAAATTTTGTAGAATAATTCTTACAATGACTGAATATGACTGAATAGTTATATATTGTTTAAATTATTTACACATAGACTATTGTTCTTAACTTTGTTATTGTTATCATGTTTCAGCTGTTATGTCCTCCAGCCTTCATCAGGTGCTTTTGAATGTGGGTAACCTTCAGGGAATTTTGAACTGAACCCTTTATTTTATCTATTAGTGTAGACTGTTCTTATTCTACTGCCCATGTCTGGAGATAAAATAATTCTAGTCCTTATTTAGTACTGCTCAGTCTTTGCCCTATTTCCACTGAGTCCAAGTACACACTGCCCAGCCCAGGGATTGGACTCACAATTACTGTCACCAAATTCATAAACCAACACTTTAATCCACTAGGCTATTCACAATAGTCTAGTTGTCAAATGTAAATAATGATAACTCCTTGTACTAGAAATTCAGATAGTTACATATTACCTGTTTGTGCCAGAGATTGGTGCTTCAGCCCAGATAAGGGCTCTAGTCAAACAAGTTGATTTCTAATAGAATATTAGTATCTTTCCACTTCTAATTTCCTGAAGTAATCAAATACAGCATTCATGACTTTCCTTATTTAAGCCCAATGACTCTCATAATGCAGTTAAAAAAGCCTTAAGATGAGCTTGGCAGCTTAAAAATGGGTAATTTAAATTTCTAATAGCATAAATAGAAGCATCAGTACAAATTAATTTTGGTCAGAAAATAAACGGTGATACCCACACACTGTGACATGAAAATGATAAACTATTATAAGAATGTGCAAAAAAGCTGATGAAATATTTTAAGCCTTTATAAAGACAATACATCATAATTGTACTGCTTATCAGCTGACTTGTTATATTTTTATGTGAAAAAATGTGAAGGTGTGTAAAAGACAAAAGGATGATTTAAAGACTGTAAGAAAAACAGTTCAGTGACCAGCCTTTAGGTTTATATAAAAAGTAAACATGGCTACTTTACTTTGGAATAATGATGAGCAAGGTCATATTGCAGTCTATTATTATCACATTAAATTCCATCCTAAATAGTGATTCATACTTGTGATTATACTAAATCTTAGAAAGCTTGTACTTGGGAACTTGTGCTGTACTAAGTTAAGTTTAGTAAAGAAACACATTACACATTTGGTTGGGATCCACATGCCTGGTGTGCTCTTATGAGACTGTCATAATGGATATATTAATCTCTTTATATTTGTACGACAGCATCAGATTGTTAGCATGCTGCTCTCTCACAGTCATAATAAATATTTGGCATATAAATAATCAAAGTAATAAATTTGATATATAAGTAATAACAGAGCTGATCTCCCATCTTGTGACCTTCAAAAAGTTCAGAAAAACGTTTCATTTTAGAAGCAAA